AGGAAGAATTGTTGAAATCAATGTCTGGTTTAGTAACTGGTCCTGATTGATTCCTTTCTTCATTATAGTAGCTTGCATAGATATTGTAGCCGTCCATGGAGTCGAAATTGGCGAATAAAAATAAAATAAAACCGGTCCAAACGGAGCCGACGACGGCTTGCAAGTTTTGTCACTACGGCACGCGCCACATCACACAGGGGTGTATTTAAGGCCGTTTGCACAAAATCTTAGGGTCACTGTAATCTTACTATTTTCTATCTACGACAAACGATTTGTCACACAGCTACGAAACCGACGATCTAGAGAAAGATGGAAGTTGGAAAATGTACAAGTGTAATAACCGTTTGGTGCAACACAATTGGTTCAAGCAAACTAAAATATGACAGGAAACAAACAGTCCACGTGGACTAGTTTATAGCCGTGTTTACTGCTAAGATGGCTAAGTTTTTCGTTCCACCTACCACCGCAACGATGAATAGGTATACCATACCACAACTTGTGTGAAGTGAACAGAGCTTCGTTTTTATTGACGAGATTGAGCTCAGAAATGAAACAGATTATATCATAATGGAAAAGATGACATTTAATATTAAATACGTCTCTGTGCAACGTGTGCCAGAGTGACGTCAGAATTTGCAAGCCACCGTCGCGTCGGCTCCGTTTGAACCGGTTTTATTTTATTTTTATTCGCAAATTTCGACTATATGGACGGCTACAATATCTATGCAAGCCACTATATCAATGATTGTAAGTCCGTTTTTTCATATCCGTTGAAAATAATTTTTAACCAAATATTAAAATATTGCATTTTTCCAACTGAGTGGAAAGTATCTCGTATATGCCCAGTGTTTAAGAAAGGAAATAAATCGGATGTCAAGAATTATTAAATAGAGCGATAACCACTATTTGCAATTTCTCTAAAATTTTTGAACACCTAATACATGGTCGAATTTACAATCACATTTCGAATTAGGAGTCGCTGAACCAGCATGGCTTTATAAGGAAGAGATCAACTGTTACGAATTTTGTTTCGATTACTCACTACCTTTATGAATCCCTTGATAATTAAAATCAAGTTGATGTCTTGTATATGGATCTGTCTAAACATTTGATAGTTGGACAATAATCTGCGTATTAAAAAAATAGATTCTTTTGGTTTATCCAGTAATTTAGATAGACTATTTGCGTCTATCTCAGTGGTAGATCACTCTGTGTACAATATTGTGGATATAATCCAGAACCATTTGAACAACTCTCGGGGGTTCCGCAGAGTTCGGTGTTGCGCCCTCTGCTTTTTTGGGTTTACATTAATGACTTGACATCTAGATTAAATGTTGACCACTTACTTTACACAGATGATCTAAAGATATTTCAACAAATTGATTGTTTAGATGACTGGGAAGTTACATTATAACACGGACACAATGCAACAATGGTGACTGGAAAATAGTTTATATCTGAATGAAAAAAAGTGTTGCTTAGTTTCCTTCTCTAGAAAAGTTGACGTTATTATAGGGGGAAGTTGGTAAATTGTGCGCACTTAAGCCAATTTGCTTGTAATTTATGAATTATTAAAGATTAAGTTATGAAGTTAAGTATGAGCATAGCCATGTTCTTTACAACATACCTAGCATACAATAAATCACACATAGTTATTATTTAAAATGTAAAAGATTGCGTTACGCATGATTACCAGACCTAGATTGATAATGGTGCGCGTAGTTTAATTACCATTCTTATAACCTAACAAAGAAATTATTTGTTTCTTAACTATGAAAAATGTTTATTAATACTTAAAATAAAATTAAAAGTATTACAACATTATGAATAATTTACATATAAAAAAATATAATCAAAAACAGAATAATAAACAACATAAAAGCCACTTGTCACAAAAGTCACAAACATACCCCTCTACAGTGTCTGATCCACTGCAAAGACCATGTGCCCACTTTATATAGATTTCGTACTACAAACAATGTTCTGTTTTTTTACTCCCATCTCCACAATAAAGGCAAATTTTAAAACATGTTTCCTCAACTCCTTTTCTTTATTTTGAGGAAAAACAGGACATCTTCCTAAACGAGGGTCTTTTATATCAAGCCCTTCATTTAAAGCTTTTAATGCTTTGCGTATAGATGATTCTGGTACTCCACATTTTCCACCCACCCCTCTAATACTGTTTCCACTTCGTACAAATCGTATAGCATTTTTCATTAAATCAGCACACCACCCTGTCTTGTTTGTTTTACGAATATACTTGGATATCTAAAATTGTTAAACAGTAAAATTAAATTCTGAAAAAGGGTGTCGGCAAAATGTGCGTACTGCGCACTGCTTGCCGATAAATTTCTTTTAATATTAAAAATTTATATTATAACAATTAAGTAATAATTAACTCAATAGTATCAATAATTAAAATGGGTAGTATAAAAACTAACTTTTGATTGAGATAAAAATTATTAAAATAAGTCGTAAAATACTGTACTTACAGCTTATTTTCAACTCTTACACAATTACTTCAAAAAGCGGGAATCGCTAATGGCAACATATTGAATGTGGATATTTCAGAAAATTATTAAAAACTGTTTTAGCCGTTACAAGTGATTCTAATAGATAGCACTATGTACTTATTTTAAAATTTAAATTATTTGATTTCCAATTACGAGCCCTAACAACTAAATATTGGGACACAGACAATTTCTCAAAAAAATCCGGTATATATTTTTGATATCATTCAATTCGTCTGGACTAAATAAAAATTTTGCATGGGCATCTATTTTGGCAGAGAGTGAGGTATTTTGCAAATTAATAAATTTTCTTAGAGCGCAAAAATTGTCACCTAAATAAAAAATGTGTCATTTTTGCTGACATTTAAATGTTGGGACACCCGAGAAAATTTGCTAAGTATACCATGGAAATACAAACGTAGTAGCTGGTAAATGCTGCCATTATTATAGGGATCGTAGCATTTCATACTAGTGTTGGTTTCACTTAGAAGAAAATAGTTAGTGGTGGGCTAGTTTTAGTAAAATTTCTAAAAATAATAATTTCGCAGTACTGCGTGGGAAAATCGATAAGAAAAAGTGAAGATTTGTTTTAAATAGCTTAGTCGTCGATGGTAAACATCGTAAAATATTACGCAGACAGAGGTACCATAGGAATAAAAGGTAAAATTCCCGGTAGGCCACCACTTGTGAAGCCGCGTGATCAACGACAACTGATGAAAATTTATAAAAGTGGACGACGGAGTACTTCAAGAGAAATTACTACTTGCTGGAATAGCGATAACCAATTAAATGTTTCAAGACAATATTGTCGCAAATGGATACACAAATCAGGCCTTGGTTTTTACATTGTAAATTTTAAATAAAGCTATCTTTGATTGACTTTATTATTTATTTATATTATGTTAGGCTAAAGTAAAACCACAATTAAAAACCGCCCATAAGAAAAATTGGTTAATGTGACCAAAATAAAAATTGGAGAAAAGTAATATATAACGCTGAGTCCAAATTTGATGTATGGGTGAGATAATATTCGAAAAAGAGTTATTGAAATAAAAAAGGAATTTTAATATGGATTATCTTAAACAATCAGTCAAGTTTGCAAGCGGAAAGATGGTTTGGGGGTGCATGTCTATTAACAGAATTTAAAGACCAGTTAACAACGTTCATGGAAGGGAAATTACAAATTCAAACAAATGTCAAGAGACTTTGTAAAAAAATATTAACAACTACTGAAGCAGTCTATCCTGTTGATATTTATATTTTTCAACAGGATGATGCTTCAAGTTACACACCTACAACACTTATTACAAAGAATAATAATATAAATGTTTGCTCTGACCATCGAATAGCCCAGATCCTAATCTAATAGAGACGGTATGGCGTGAAATAAAAAAAATATTTAGGAAATCATCCATGACAAGCGATTGTCAATCTTCAACAAGAAATTTAGCGAGTGTAGGATACGGTAACAACTCCTGTGTATTGCAGAAAATTAGTTGAAAGTATGATGGCAAGAATTCCTGCAGTTATTAAGGCAAAAGGAGATATGACCAGCTACTGAATTTGCTGTGTCCCAATATTTATGTGTCACAAAATGTTACGTTGTTTTAGAGTTTTATGTCACTGTTTGAGTTAGAAATCAGTTTTTGTTGTGCTGTAAACATTGACAGTCTTGCAAAACGAAGTAATTTTAAAATTTTAATTATCTAAAATAAATTACATTTTTGTTAAAAAGTTTGGTGATTTTTTTATAAAAATTTTTTGTTGTCCCAATATTTAGTTGTTAGGGCTCGTAGAAGGGTGCGCACCATTAGCCGACGCGCACGATTCACCGACTTCCCCCTTTTTGATAATTTAATAGATGGTACCAGATTTGCAAGAGCTGATACGTTTAAAGATCTTGATGTCGTGTATGATTCTAGACTTACATTTGTGCACCATATTGAGGAGGTGGTTTCCTCTGCTCACAAAAGTCTCGGGTTCATACTACGCCAGGCCAAGCATTTCACCAATTTCGATACCTTAACCACCTTAAATAAAACGTTTGTAAGATCTCAGTTAGAATATGCCTGTGTTGTGTGGTCACTACTGTATAACGTTCATGTATTATCTCTTGCGAAGGTTCAAAGGCGTCTTGCCAAATATTTGTTATTTCTTTCTGATGGAGGATATCCTACTAGGGGATATCCTCACACTGAGGTGTTGCGTCAGGTTAATCTACCGACACTGTCAAGTGGACGTTGATACTTTATGTTAAAATTCTTGTTTCAGATATTTAATTATGACATTGATTGCCTGCCACTATTATCTTTGTTTAAACTCAGGATACCATAGACCAAATGTAGAAGTTTTAATTTGTTTTATGTCGAGTGGACGAGGACGAATGTACTACAAATGTCTCCTCTATATACCTAAGATGGTTAACATTTATTTGCAAAGGAAGATACAGTTGAAATCTTTAAAGCCTACTATCGGAAGTTACAACAAATATTATCCTGTGATGACTAAAATGATTTGTAGTTTTGGCTTTATGGCTTTAACACAACAGTAATTATAGCTGTTTTCTTCTTCTGCGAATTGCAAGTTTTGCTTCTGTAGCTAACATTGACTTATAATTATCCTGTGATGATTAAAATGATTTGTAGTTCTAGCTTTATGACACTAACAGTAATTATACCTGTTTTTTTTTTCCTTTATGAACTACAAGTCTTGTTTCCGCCACTGACCGTTGACTTAGAATTGGAAATGGCGCCTGTTAGTCAGTAGAGTTAATAATAATAATATTTAATCCTATCCTACAGCCAATCGTGTAAAAGGATAAATACAACCTGAATATCAAAATAAGAACAATCTCAATTTACGGTAAATATTAGATTTCTAGACTTAACACTAAATACTTTTGTGCTGTGATTAAAAATATCTACAATGGATACAACCAGGGGCGGCTGGTGCCCTCCCAAAATTACGACGTCTACAAACACACTGGACATACAAAATAATAATTTTCAATATTTAAAAAATTATCTGGACATTTGTGTCATAATTATCAAAATTAACTTTTTTATCTCGCTCCACTTGTATAAAATGTATCAAAACTTACATCCACTTGCATCTGAAGATAAGAATAAGATAATAAGAAAGTGGTATCATTTTATATATTACTAGCTGTTACCCGCAGCTCTGCTTGCGTGGATTTCGCAATTAGGACACATTATTTTTCATCTCTTTATTTATTTGTTGATTTCAATTTATATTATTTTTTAAGTTTGTGGAGTCTTCATTAATAATAATAACAACATATGTATAAAAGTTTTTGTCCTGTCCGGCTGACTGATTCATCAACATAACTACTGGAGCTATAAACATGAAATTTGGACAAAAGGTTTCTTTCGTAATGTGAAACAAAACTATTCTAACAAAAATATAATATAATAGTAACTATACTTAATACATATATTCTATTTATTTCAACCCAATTACGGAAATAAAAAATTATAACAAAGAACAAAATTAATTTGTTACTAACAAAGTACTTCTTTGTATACTATATTCGTCGTAAGCTTTCCATGTGCTAGAATTACCAGACGACTCGCGGCACTCACTCTGGAACAGGCCACATAGAACTGTCCATGAGAAAAACAGTCTTCCATCAGGTCTATTCCGGCCATTTTCAATGTTTGACCTTGTGCTTTATTAATAGTTATTGCGAAGCAGACCTTCAGGGGGAACTGCAACCTTTTAAATTCAAATGGGTATTCTGACAGTATTAAAGGTATTCGTGGTATGAATACCTTTTCCCCTTGAGCACATCCCGTGATTATCGTGGCCTCTACAATATTCTGGTGGAGAGCCGTTATTTGCAATCTGGTGCCATTGCATAACTTTGCAGGGTTCAGGTTCCTTAATAGCATAACTGGTGCGCCAATCTTAAGTGTGAGATTATGAGGGGGAAGACCAGCTGGATTAAGCGTATTTAAAAACTCGACTGGATAATTTATAGCATCATCAGTTTGTACTACCGAATCCACGGATTTATATTGAATTTCTTCTCCTTCAAATGATTTTAACAAAAGATCGTTAATACCAGCCGCTCTATCATTTTTGGGAGTCAAAATAGCACGTTCGCATAACCAGTCTATGGGTTTTGCCTTGAGATTGATGATGTCGGGGTAAATTTTGTTGGTTAGTTCTGTAAGAGATTCTACTACCGTAGCCAGAGTTGGTGGTATAATAATCTTACCATCAACTGTAGGGTAATTTCCATCTCCTATTTGAAGCACAGTCTGTGCAAACTCACCAACGGTAGCATCACCTCCTAAAAGTACTCTCATATTTGTCTTTAAGGCGAGCTTCTTAATTTGGGGCCACAAATACGATGATTTTAAACATGACCTCACTTCATCGGCTCGTGTTCCCCTTGGTACGACGGGTAAGGTTTGTCGAAAGTCTCCAGCTAAGAGAACCGTAACGCCGCCCATCAAACTACCATTTTCTCTTATATCTCGCAGAGTTTTACTGAGAGCTTCTACGCCTCCTTTATGGGCCATAGTGCATTCATCCCATACTATAAGTTTTGTTTCTTTCAAGACTTGCGCCATATTGCTCTGCTTTGAAATGTTGCACAGAGGTGTCTCTACACGCATTAGGTTTAAGGGTAATTTAAAAGCAGAATGCGCTGTTTTACCGCCATCCAGCAACGTGGCTGCTATGCCAGAAGAAGCAACTGCCAAGGCTATTCCGCCATTTTTTCGTACTCTAGCCAATAATAATTTTAAAAGAAACGTTTTACCCGTGCCTCCAGGAGCATCCAAAAAGAATACTTGACCAGTGCCATTCTCGATACTACGAGCCCTAACAACTAAATATTGGGACGACAAAATTTTTTTATAAAAAAGTCACCAAACTTTTTAACAAAAATGTAATTTATTTTAGATAATTAAAATTTTAAAATTAATTCGTTTTTCAAAACTGTTAATGTTTACAGCACAACAAAAACTGATTTCTAACTCAAACAGTGACATAAAACTCTAAAACGACGTAATATTTTGTGACACATAAATATTGGGACACAGCAAATTCAACAACTGGTCACATCTCCTTTTGCTTAAATAACTGCAAGAATTCTTGCCATCATACTTTCAACTAATTTTCTGCAATACACAGTAGTTGTTACCGTATCCTACACTCGCTAAATTTCCTGTTGAAGATTGACAATCGCTTGAAATGGATGATTGCCTAAATATTTTTTTATTTCACGCCATACCGTCTCTAGTAGATTAGGATCTGGGCTATTCGATGGTCAGGGTAAACATTTATTTTATTATTCTTTGTAATAAGTGTTGTAGGTGTGTAACTTGAAGCATCATCCTGTTGAAAAATATAAATATCAACAGAATCGACTGCTTCAGTAGTTGTTAATATTTTTTTACAAAGACTCTTGATATTTCTTTGCATTTGTAATTTCCCTTCCATGAACGTTGTTAACTGGTCTTTAAATTCCGTTAATAGACATGCACCCCCAAACCATTTTTCTCTTGCAAACTTGACTGTTTGTTTGAGATAATCCATATTAAAATTCCTTTTTTATTTCACTAACTCTCTTTCGACTATTGTCTCATCCAGACATCAAATTTGGACTCAGCGTTAGATATTACTTTTCTCCAGTTTTTATTTTGGCCATATTAACCGATTTTTCTTGTGGGCAGTTTTTAATTGTGGTTTTACTTTAGCCTAAAATAATATAAATAAATAATAAAATCCATCAAAGATAGCTTCATTTAAGATTTACAATGTAAAAACCAAAGCCTGATTTGTGTATACATTCGCGACAATATTGTCTTGAAAAATTTAGTTGGTTATCGCTATTCCAGCAAGTAATAATTTCTCTTGAAGTACTCCGTCGTCCGCTTTTATAAATTTTCATCAGTTGTCGTTGATCACGCGGCTTCACAAGTGGTGGCCTACCGGGAATTTTACCTTTTATACCTATCGTACCTCTGTCTGCGTAATATTTTACGATGTTTCCCATCGACGACTAAGCTATTTGGAACAAATCTTCACTTTTTCTTATCGATTTTCCCTTGCAGTACTGCGAAATTATTATTTTCAGAAGTTTTACTAAAACTAGCCCATCGCTAACTACTTTTTTCTAAATAAAACCAACATTAGCATGAAATGCTACGATCCCTATAATCATGGGAGCATTTACCAGCTATTATGTTTGGATTTCGATGGTATACTTAGTAAATTTTCTCGGGTGTCCCAACATTTAAATGTCAGCAAAAATGGCACATTTTTTATTTAGGTGACAATTTTTGCGCTCTAAGAAAATTTATTAATTTGCAAAATACCTCACTCTCTGCCAAAATAGATGCCCATGCAAAATTTGCATTTAGTCCAAACGAATTGAATGATATCAAAAATATATACCGGATTTTTTTGAGAAATTGCCTGTGTCCCAATATTTAGTTGTTAGGGCTCGTATCTAAAACTTGATTATAAATTTGATATTGTTCTGTATTTAATAAACTTTCGTTGTTGGATACTACTTGAGCCAATAAAAGTGTGTCATAGCTAATCTCTCTGAGATAGTCTCTGATTTGTATGACTTCTTCACGTCTTACAGGCTGAGGCAAACCATAATACTCTAAACATTGTCCTCCTAAAGATAAAACCGTATCTTCAATGGAAATCAGACACTTGTTGTACACTTCATTCATAATCTGAACACTGTCTTGACACTCTGACTGCACTTGACGTTTTATGTCCTCCGACAGACTGTTTTTATATTTCTCCCATATACTTAAAGCGTCTGTTACTTTGCAAAATACTTAGATCATATAATAAATAGATACCACCATGCCGTGTTCTTTCCCTAGCAGAGCCTGTGACGACATCCTCCTGTCACACATCTCTCTCGTACATGAAGGGATTACAATGAAGCTATCCTTGCCTGATCACTATTTGAATTTTGCGCGCCTAAATTTTAGGAAGTATGTCTGAACTAACTTCGTACGAAAGATGTTGACAGCTTGATTTTATAAATAATTCACAATAGATAATGAAAGGAATAGTAAATTATTGGGCAGCAATTGTGATCTCTTCCATTGTAGCATTCCACTGCTTGTCATCTTCTAGCAAACCCAAAGATTTACATGATGACTGGTATGTGGGATAAACGACACCATCAATAGTTTTTAAATCCGAGAATGATGTTGGCCCTCTCACTTGATGAAGAAGAAGACGAAGGTAGTAACATTCGGCGTTATTAGGGTGGACGGTGTACACTCTGCCCAAAGCTTGATCTTTTTTGACTCCCGGCCAACCATCAACATTGTTTCCACGTTTTCGTCTCTCAAATTTAGTACTTTTCCACACATAGTATGAAGGGAGTTCAACATAGAGAAGGGTTTTTGCAAAATTATCCGTTTTGCAAAGATCAAAAAATGCTAGAAGAGTAGTTTTCTGTGGATTATTTACCTTTTCAGTCACATTATTGAAGTCGTTAGGATTAAAATAGAGACGCTGGTCATTTTCCAAGTGCACTGCGAGATTAAAAACAGCTGGAAATCTTTCATGTATAGGAAAGGCCAGGATTCTCCAAACAGCTTCAGAGCTGCTAATATATCGACCACTTTCATATAATTTGACCTCATCATTGTCATTTTCAAGACCAAATGAGGCTTGGTCGGATCCTTTATTGACGTATTTGCATATATATTTAATAGATTTTACAGAGTTACAATACTCGATGTTAATGTGAGCAGCAAAAGTTCGAGACAAAACTGGATTATACGGTACCACCCATCTATTATCTAGGGTTACACCATGGATTTCAACCGTGAATCCACCATCCGCGGGACCTCTTCGCCGATATTTAGGGTAGCCGTCGTCGCCTGTTTGGGTTTCTTTCAGAAGAATTCGAGGATATTTTTTGCTACAGCAACCTCCTTTCATACACGGGGATTTCCTCAAATTTCCGCAGGGCCCATGGATCATATTGGTTTTGATAATTTTATAAAGGATAGGATCCTTTTGAGGATCCGGTATCTCCGCACAGATAACATTATCTATATTAACCGCAGAAATTCGCTGCTCCAACCACAACAAAATGTGGATGTGTGGAAGACCTCGCTTCTGCCATTCAACAGAATACATAAAGCAACACACTTTTCCAAACAAATTTCCTTTTGTTAGCAGTGACATAATTGCTTTAACTTTTAAATGAAATACCCGTGCTATAATGTCATGACGATCGTGTGGCTTTTGACCAGGCAGCAATGCATCTGCAATATCTTTCCATTGAGGATTGCATGTAAATGTGATGAAAAGGTCAGGGCGACCGTAATGGCGTACGTAGGTCATTGCATCTTGAGTTCTTTCATGCATATATCGAGGTGATCCAGTAAACGATGAAGGGAGTACCACCCTATTACCAAGTTGAGTAATATCGGTGTCCTGCCTTCCTATCGCATCTTTCAAATGTACATAACTATCTGCTCTGAGGTATGCTTGGTTGTACCTGATATAATTCAATCTTTCCGTTTCTATTTTCGCATACATATCAACTAAATATTGACTAAAAAGGGTACGATAGTATAACAATCGATTTTCGTCTTCTTCTCTGACCATGATGCGATATGAATAAAAATTTAGCGCCGATATGGTTTTTTGAAGAGATGTTTTTGTTTTAGGATCATATTGCGGTATGTCAATAAAGTAACCATCCTCACCATAACAAAATAGGAGTGGGTATTGCAGGGCGTCATATGAGCGGTGTAACTCGCTGATCCGATGCAATTTGTTATCGTGATTTTGTAAAACGATATCCCGCTTGTCGAACTGCTGTCCGACTATGACCAGAGCAACTTCACTCGTTGTCTGTGCATTATAACGGCCTGTGTGAGCAGTGGCTGGTTTTCTATCAGCTTGAATAACGACTTCAAATTTTTCACAATCTTCGGGTACTTTTTGAAGAGTTGTTTTCAGGTCCCTTATATATGATTTTTTCTCGTGCAACATCGCTTGCAGTTGTTTGACCAGATTTGGTTTCACACCAGAGAAATTGCTGCATCTCAAATTTGCCTCTCTCTCGTCTTCACCAATGAAGTAAATTTGAAGAAATTGAGGTTCTTGTTGGGGCAAGGGTAATAAGCTACCAACCAAATGATAAACCTGTCCCTGTACTTTAAACGTGGGCATAAAATCATCTTCCATTATTTTCTTAGCTCCAAAGGACATCATCTGAAAGCAACTGTTATACTTTCTAATACCATCCATAAAATGAACCTGCTCTGGATGAAGACCCATAATCAAGCTGTGAAGAGGCTCTGGCAAGGGTTTAAATGTTGGAAGTTGCACTTTACCACCGGCGCAACACATGCCAGGAGCTTCTTCTTTCCACTTATAAGCAAGACAATGTATGCATTTGTGATTCATATCACCTAAGGCAACAGTTTTATCAGTTTCATAAGCTAATTCAAGATCATACATCATTCCAGACAAAGCTTTAACTTTCCACGGAAGCAATCGCCTTTCTGATCGTTTTCTTGGATTATTCCTTTCATGCCTAAAAACACTTGCTCTATGAACATCTGGATTATTTTGCTGGTAAGTCATCACTGCAGCGCGGTGAGCCTCTGGATTTTTCCGTTGATAAACCATGACAGCCTTACGATGAACATCCGGATTACGTTGCATTGATAGCGGCATCTTTGAGCTGTTTTTTTCTAGTTGGGTCGGTAAATCTAGCCCGGTGGTGCTTCTTTTTTTCAGTATCATTTTGAGAAATGAAACTTGGAATTAATTGATCCTCAGAAGATTGATAAACGTCGAAATGCCCATTAGAAAGATCGTGCGAAGTACTAAAACGCAATTTACATACGGGATTTTCTTCTATGCCGAATTTTTCATACAACTCTCCGTTATAATAAACCTCAAATACATATGGAAATATTTGTCCAGAAGCCACTAATTCGTACAAACCGCCATAAGTATAGGACTGTGACATTTCGGCAAGGTAGTCAGCAGCACTGTTAAAATTATTTCCATCTCTGTCGTGGGATAGGATGGAAAACTCATCCCAACGCTCTACTACGTGTGTTACTATTATCTCCCGCACCTCCCGAGCCATAACTTCAGTACCATATAACAGGTATGATATTGCTCGGAATAAGCAAGCTCCATCGCCAATAATCGGTACGACAGTATGTGGTACCATTGCACCGTTTATGTTTAAGATTTCTACAACCATATCGGAAATATTTTGACAATTCGTGACATAAAACACAACCGTCAACGCCGTTTGGCCTCACGCGTCCGACCGCAGACCGCGTTCGCATCGCAGTCGCTTACTCGGTGACGTCGCGGCCTCTCTATTTCCATACAACTTCTTAAATTTTAAAAGCTTAAGACTGATTTTTCCAATAACCCTACCACGTACAACTGAAATACGCTTTACATTATTTGTGTTGAACAGCATTAATATCAAGTTCCACGCAAAAATTTACAATAGAAATATTTTTCCCATACACAATTAGACACCGCTTTTCACCCCCTTAGGGGTTGAATCTCGGAAAATGCTGAAATACGTGTTTCGTTATCTGTATTGAAAAGCATTAATACCAAGTTTCACGTAAATATTTACAACAGAAATGGTTAGGAAATAGTCTTCCTGCACAAACTTTACCACCGCTTTTCACCCTTTTAGGGGTGGAATTTCCCAAGTTCCTTTCTTAGTGGGTGTTTACATCACAAAAGGAAACTATTGTCCAAATTTCATGTTTCTAGCTGCAGTAGTTTAGGCTCTGCGTTGATGAATCAGTCAGTCAGGACAAACAATTTTATATGTATAGATTGCTGATAAAAGTCGGGCACAGAGACCGGAATCATGGCTGATTTAAACATTTTATTTACACCGTTGCCATAGATAACACACGTCCTAGCCATTTCAGTCAATGGGACTGCGATCCCGTTCTGACAGTGCTCGGCGGGAGTAACTTAATCGTTCGTTTTAATTTTCATGCTGCGTGAGACGTAAAACAGTTATGATCAATATCCTTGGATAACCTTCTCGGTAATACGGACATTCGAAAACAACTAAACACCACCTATATTACCTAATAATATTCGGGCACATAACGCAAGGGTCGACAAAAATCGCCATATATTACGCCGATTGATAATGTGCATAAAATTTTGTGGAGTGTTTGAACTTGTTTTACGTGGACATGACGGAAGTAGGGAACCACAAAATCCAGGTATATTTTGAGGTCTGATTAATTTTACGGCTCAATTGGACTCTGCTTTATCAGATCATTTGAAAGCAGCAACGGTTTTTAAAGGAACGTCTAAAACTGTCCAAAATGAACTTTTAGATGCCATCAACGTAAAATTTTGACCGAAGGCAAAAAGGTATGTGAACAAATCTTTTTTTATTTTTATTGAATGTACTTTTGTATTTATTTCCGTCATACAATTTCGTCTATTAATTGTATGACGGAACCTGTTTTATATCTCCATATTTAACTCATCAATCAAGTTGTGTCCCCCCATTTCAAAAGGTCACGTGCCGCTACTGGATGCAACTACATATATTATAACAACAGTATTATTGAGTAGAGCATAATAATACAGAGTAGTTCCGCATATGTTTAAAGCAAATATTTCATGATGGCGACAGTTTATTCGAGGTAGTAACAAAGCGGTATCACTTAAAAGTTTCATACATACTATAAGACCATGAATTAATTTAAATAAAAAATAAATGTTGGCGAAAGTTCTTCTAGCATTTAAACTATATAGATTAAATTCTCTTAAGAGAACATTAATAAGGTGGGCCCTAACAGGATACACGCCATATTTAACAAAATACAACCGTTTACAAAACTTTCTCTGTGTACATTCTAATGATAAGATCTTGACATCATAATAAGGATCCCATACAATGCAACAATATTCTAATTTTATCCTTATTTGTTTATTTGTTAATTTATTTTTCTCCAGGAATCACTGCACCATTTTGTTATTTTGTCATTTTACTTTTCTTGTTTGATATATTTTACAGTATTTTATATGTAAAATGTTTTTATTTATTCTAATTAAATTTATTGTGTCCTTTATGAACCTAACTGTTCGTTGGATAATAAATGTTATTATTATTATTATCTATGTTGGTGAAACTTGTAGTATTTCTAATACAGCGTGTTCATTTTATCTGTTCACGTCTGAATATTTCTGCATAGACAACCCATTTTACGTTTCATCAACAGCCTTGATTAATTTTTATTTTTAAATAATAATGAACGCATAGGTAGCAATGATCAGAACCAAAATTATGACAAATTAGTTGTTTGTGTAAGCCAAATATTTTCAATTTTCGTTTGCTTCACAATGTTTTAGAATTCTGAAAAAACAAAATTGGGGAAGTGTGACAAAAATTTTGATGCTGCTGTTCGTCTGTACGCCAAGCAATAACTCAATAGAAGAACTCTATCAAATCAAGCGTTTAGCAAACTTGAAAAAAAATTACGAGAATTTGGGCAATTAAAAAAAATAAAGTTAGTTGCCTGATCACATAAATATTGAACATGCGGTAGGAATGTTAATTGTGAATCAATAATAACGCGAAGGTCTTTGATATGATCGACTTTAGTAATTACTGAGTCATTCATCGGTGTATAATTATAATCTATATTTAATGATTTTCTGGAGAAGGTAATAAGTTTACATTTGGATGCATAATTTTTTTTAAATTACTCTTTTCAAAAGTGTTTAATTCATATTGCAAAAGACAATCCCTCAGCAGAATACTTAGCGACCTTGAGGTCATCCGCGTAAAGAAACACATGACATCGAAAATGTAATATCAGATGCATCATTGATGTATAATGCAAGGGTCCCAAATTTGAACCTTGCGTTACTTCGCTACATTTGTGAACGGTTGCCGTGATATTCAACAAAGTGTTTACGATTAACAAGTTATGACTTAAACAGGTTGTAACAGCCAAAAATACCACTAAGTCAAAGAACCTGAAAAGGCCACCTAAACACTTGATCAATAATTATATCATCCCCATACCCTATATTTTATGAAAATCACTTTTATATGCAGCAACTAAGGGCTTTGATTATAATTATTGTTTTCCATCTGTCCGATTCACAAAATAGGTTAGGATTTTTCTAGAATGTAAACAACTCGATTTATGAATGAAATCGAATCCCTCCTTCTACTATCCCCGTGCTCTTCTATTGGCCAACTCCATCTGCGTCAAAATGTCGTTTCCGGTTTTTTCTTCCTTGGTTTTCAATAAAATCAGTGGCGGAAACGGGGCGAGACTATTTTCCATCCTTCTGTTGAAGAGTGATCAACCACGTCGAATCTTCCAAATTCTTCTCCAAGTGATTTCCGGGTGTAGGTGCAGAATTTAGATATATAATTGGATGTCCTGTACATTCAAGCAACGTTTGATGCCCTCCCCTTCGATTCTATCGGATTATAACGCTGGGAGCAACTCGACCTTGGTCGGCTATTGAAAATTGGAAATTCGTAATTATTAAAAGAGCCTTGGATCATCCAAAGGTAATTATCTGTTGTCAATGAGACTCTTCATGTGGTGGAGTAAATGGTGTATGTATTTCCGTGAAATTCCTCTTACCAAAAGGTGTTGGGCTTCCCCATGTGGTCGAGATGTCTTCCCTGTTCGTGGCGTCCGTTCTTGTCTCTTATGGCCTTCATACTAGTAGTATTTACACTTACAGGCTCTTTTTTTTATTCCCCCACTGGGATATATATCTTTTCCCATACATTTCGTGGATTTTTCTGGGAACTCGTGTTGGAAGGAAATTGGCCGGATTGATACCATCTGCTCGTCGGTCCCACCACAACAACTAGAAGGTCCCCCAGGTCTCGAGGCAGATCCAGCTTGAAGTCCCAGCTTGCGTAGCAGCTAAGTCATTATTATAAGTCCCCTATTTTGACTTTTTTCACGTATGTGAAGTGGCCCACTACGGTTAACTTCCATTGATTTAAAGTAATTTAATAGTAAATCGAAAGTGTCATTGAAAGTATAGTTATCTAATAATTTATTCATCTTAATAGTTCAAACTCTTTAAATATTACTTAGTTACATTTCATATATTAGCTTCTTCGTTCTAATTCAGTCAATAATTATCTTGTTAATTACGTCGTAATTGTAAAATAATAATTGAGTTCAGACAATCTTTCGAGATAACCTAAAAACTGTATAATGTTATAAGAAGGTGTTGACCAACATGCAGGTTGCTTATGGTAGACCACACCAAAGGTGGATAGCGTAAATTCCTGGTCTTCGCATGCGAATACGGAATATTTTCCCGAGAGTTTGGAAAATTCCACAAGGTAAATAATATCCTAACCTCAATCATTTGAGAACTCTCAATTCGTTTCATTCATTCATAGATAGGGTAGATTACCATTTGAAACTAGCGGACTTGTGATCATGCGCGTTGGTCTTTGCTCGAGGGCATAAGCTTGGAAATTGAGGAACTCATTATTATTTCTCAACAATTTCCTTTTCTTTAGGGTTAATTAAAGTATGCCAGTTTCGTGCCTTATTATTGTACGTAATAAATTCTCGAATTTGACTGGCCTAATTAAAGATATTAATCAGAGAAAGGTTTATTAA